GGCGGGGCTGGGGGAAGTGTTCCTGGGGGCTGAGGTCACACCCAGCTCTGTATAAGGAAGGCAGAGGCGAAGACCCCCTTCCTCCGGAAAGCAAACGCGTTTCTACTGCCGAGGAGAACTTACCGTCGCGGGAAGGGCCTGGCTGGCAGCTGCCACCCCCGCCCCTCACCCCATAGCATCCAGGAGGGATTTTTTTTTTTTTTTTTTTTTCCATGCTGCGTGTTACTGTCCCTCCTCCAAGAATGAATGACGACATTGAGGACAGAGAATCGAGTGAGAAACGCTCACCCTGTACGGGGGAGGGTCTAGTTTTAGCCGTCCCCTCCCCCCACTTCCTCATCTGACTGAGGCTGCCTCTGGGTCCTTCCTGTAATCCACCATCCCCGAGGTAAAGCCGGTATCTAAGGCTGGGGGGCTGCAGGTAAATTACTCCGCAGAGAGGCAGTCAGGACGCCATGCGAGTTGGGGGCCTTAGATGCTTTATGTATTTGTTTTTTTGAGACAGGGTCTTGCTATCTTGCCCCGGCTGGTCTTGACCTCCTGTGCGCAAGCGATCCTCCCGAAGTGCTGGGATTACACGTGTGAGCCACTGCCCCCAGCCAGATGCTTTATTTATTTATTTATTTATTTTGAAATAGGGTCTCTGTTGCTCAGGCTGGAATGCAGCAACACGATCAAAGCTCACTGCAGCCTCGACCTCCTGGGCTCAAGCAGTCCTCTCATGTCAACCTCCTGAATAGCTAGGACCTCAGGCACCAGGCACCCAGCACCATGTTTGGTTTTTGTATTATTATTATTTTTTTTTAGAGATGAAGTCTTGCTATGTTGCCCAGGCTGGTCTTGACCATCTGGGCTGAAGCGATCCTCCTATCTTAGCCTCCTAAAGTGCTGGGGATTACAGGTGTGAGCCACTGCACCAGCCAGATGCCTTATTTTATTTTATTGTTTGAAATAGAACCTTGCTCTGCTGCTCAGGCTGGAATGCAGCAGCACGATCAAAGCTCACTGCAGCCTCGACCTCCTGGGCTCAAGCAGTCCTCTCACCTCAGCCTCCTGAATAGCTAGGAGCTCAGGCACCAGGCACCCAGCACCATGTTTGGTTAATTTTTGTATTTATTTTTTTTTTAGAGATGGGGTCTTGCTATGTTGCCCAGGCTGGTCTTGACCTTCTGGGCTCAAGCAATCCCCCTATCTCAGCCTCCCAAAGTGCTGGAGATTACAGGTGTGAGCCACTGCACCCGCCAGATGCCTTATATTTTATTTTATTATTTTATTTTTTGAAATAGAACCTCACTCTGTTGCTCAGGCTGGAATGCAGTGGCATGATCATACCTCACTGCAGCCTCGACCTCCTGGGCTCAAGCAATCCTCCCACCTCAGCCTCCTGAATAGCTGGGACCTCAGGCACCCACCATCATGCTTGGTTAGTTTTTGTAAATTTTTGGAGAGATGGGGTCTTGCTATGTTGCCCAGGCTGGTCTTGAACCCCTGATCTCAAGCGATCTGCCCAAAGTGCTGAGATTCCAGGCATGCACCACTGCACCCAGCCCCCAGATTATTTAAAAAGTGGATCTAGCGGCCAGGCGCAATGGCTCACGCCTGTAATCCCAACACTTTGGGAGGCAGGTGGATCACTAGGTCAGGAGTTCGAGACCTGCCTGGCCAATAGTGAAATCCCGCCTCTACTAAAAATACAAAAATTAGCTGGGCATGGTGGCACGCACCTGTAGTCCCAGCTACTCAGGAGGTGGAGGTTGCAGTGAGCCGAGATCGCACCACTGCACTCCAGCCTGGGTGACAGAGCGAGACTCCGTCTCAAAAAAAAAAAAAAAAAAAGTGTATCTTGCTACTCAGGAACTGTTGAGAGGACACACGGAGGTAATGGAGTGTACCATGCTCTGTAATGACTGCCGGACACGGGCCTGAAATCCTTTTGCAAACACGGGAATGCACACAGAAATGACTATTGCCTGTAAGACGAGATTTCTCCACCTTGGATCTATGGGTATTTGGGGCCCAGTCATTCTTGGTCATGGGAGGCCATCCTGGGCACTGTAGGGTACTGAGCAGCACCCCTGGCCTGCCCCAGGGGGCACTCCTTTCCCTCAGTTGTGAGAAAAGTGCCTCTAGATGATGCCAAGTGTCCCCTTGCAGGAGGGGTGGCAGAATTGCCCACAGGTGCAAAGCACTGGTTTCAAACCACAAAACAGATGGGGCTGTTTGAGTCATAAAATGCCGGTATGTTATATCCAAAGGTATCAGAGAGGTCATCTCTAATTCAACTCTTGTTCACAGAAGGGGAAACTGAGACCCAGAGAGGGAGATGATCTGAGAGTCCATCATGCCCCAGAGCAGACCAGAACTCAGTCTCACCTGGCAGCTGTGATCCTGGCCCCCACCTAGACTGCTTCCCCCTGCCCAGTGAGCTCCTTAGAACAAGAAAAACAGGCCGGGCGCGGTGGCTCAAGCCTGTAATCCCTGCACTTTGGGAGGCCGAGACGGGCGGATCACGAGGTCAGCAGATCGAGACCATCCTGGTTAACATGGTGAAACCCCGTCTCTACTAAAAAATACAAAAAACTAGCCGGGCGAGGTGGTGGGCGCCTGTGGTCCCAGCTACTCGGGAGGCTGAGCCAGGAGAATGGCATAAACCCGGGAGGCGGAGCTTGCAGTGAGCTGAGATCTGGCCACTGAACTCCAGCCTGGGCGACAGAGCTAGACTCCGTCTCAAAAAAAAAAAGAACAAGAAAAACAATACTGCTGTGGGCAGTGGGGCGGTGCAGTGGCTCACGCCTGTAATCCCAGTGCTTTGGGAGGCTGAGGTAGGAGGATCACCTGAGCCCATAAGTTCAAGACCAGCCTGGGTGACATAGCAAGATCAGAAAAATTAGCCAGACATGGTGGCACATGCCCATGGTCTCAGCTACTTGGGAGGCTAAGGCAGGAGGATCGCTTGATCCCAGGAGTTGGAGGCTGTAGTGAGCCGGGATCACACCACTGCACTCCAGCCTGGGTGACAGAGCAAGACCCCGTCTCTAAATAAATAAATAAATAAAGTGACATTTTGTGGTTAGTAAAGATGAGGGTCTCCTTTCTAACCCCAGTCTCTTTCCACACTGTCTTTGTGAGCCCTGGGATCAGAAGGTCACTTGGACTTGCTTGAGGGAGGACAGAGGGGCAGGACAGGTAGCCTGGTAGAGATGGCAGATAGTGATGGGTTAAGCCTACTGGATTCTCTTTGAACTTGGCATTCCCAGCAGGGCAGCTGAAGTATATCAGCCATTCACACTTTAGTATGAATGATGGTTCGGATTTCTTGCTTTCTAGTTGAGGTCCAAGGTACAAGAGGGAGGATAAGTCTATTTGGGTCATGGCTTACCCTGGAGAAGGTAGATTTCAGAGTTTCCAAGGGAGCAGGACTTGTATCCAAAGGCTCAGCCTCTCGCCCACGTTCAAACTCTGAACCCCACTGTGCATCCTAAGCTTTCTGTGCCTCCGTTTTCTCATCTGTAAAACAGGGGAACCTCATGGGACTGGGTGATGGTTCAATAAGAAGTGTTGGCCGGGCGCAGTGGTTCACCCTTGTAATATCAGCGCTTTGGGAGGCCGAGGCAGGAGGATTGCTTGAGCCCAAGAGTTTGAGACCAGCCTGGGCAACATAGCAAGACTCAATCTCTTAAAAAATCTTTTAAAAAATTGCCCAGGCATGGTGGTACACACCTGTGGTCATAGTCACTGGTGGGGGGGCTGAGGCAGGAGGATTGCTTAAGCTGAGGAGTTCAAGGCTGCCATGAGCTATGATTGTGCCCCTGCACTCCAGCCCAGGCAACAGAGCAAGATCATGTTTAAAAAAAAAAACAAAGAGCCAGGCTCAATGGCTCACCGCTGTAATCTCAGCAGTTTGGGAGGCTGAGATGGGCAGACCACTTGAGCTCAGGAGTTTGAGACCAGCCTGGCCAACATAGTGAAACCCCATCTCTATTAAAAATACAAAATTTAGCTGGGCATGATGGCTCACACCTGTGATCCCAGCACTTTGGGAGGCGAAGGCAGGAGGATCACCTGAGGACAGGAGTTCGAGACCAGCCTGGCCAACATGGTGAAACCCTGTCTCTGCAAAAATACAAGAATTAATCAGGCATGGTAGCAGGTGCCTGTAATCCCAGCTACTTGGGAGGCTGAAGCGGGAGAATCACTTGAGCCCAGAAGGTGGAGGTTGCAATAAGCTGAGATTGCACCATTGCACTCCAGCCTGGGCAACAGAGCAAGACTCTGTCTCAAGAAGAAGGAGAAGGGAGGGAGAGGGGGAGGGGGGAAGAGCTGCATGGGGTAGGGCACTGTCATTAGGATTATTGTCCAGTAAAACCCATTCTTTTCAGGGGTCACCCCTGCTTCAAGCCGGTGCCTCTTTCCGGCTCCTATGGGGACCACAGAAGCCACGCTCCGGATGGAAAACGTGGATGTGAAGGAGGAATGGCAGGACGAAGACCTTCCCAGGTAGGACTTCCACACCCCTGAGTCAGCCGTTGGGGAAGCAGGTGTCTCTCCCAGGTGGGACGCAGGAACCAGGCCGTCTCTAAGTGGGAACGGCCCGGGGCTGGCCTGGTTCCATCTCTGTGTCCTCATCTCCCGCACACTCTGGGAGGGCTGAGGCCCTGTGTGTGAGTGTTCTCTGTGGCTTCACAGTGGGGTAGTCCAGGCCAGGCACATAATGGGTATTTGCTCATTCATTTAAGATTCATTTCTGTCCTCCCTGCCCCAAGGCTCCAAAGGAGCCCCCACCCCTACACCATTTTAAGAGCTGGGCATGGTGGTGTGCACCTGCAGTCTCAGCTACTTGGAAGGCTGAGGCAGGAGGATCACTTGAGCCCAGAAGGCGGAGGTTGCAGTGAGCCATGATTGCACCACTGCACTCCAGTTTGGGTGACAGAGCAAGACCCTGTCTCTATTTATTTATTATTTAAAAAAAAGGCCAGTCGCAGTGACTCAGGCCTGTAATCCTAGCACTTTGGAAGGCCGAGGTGGGCGGATCACAAGGTCAGGAGTTTGAGACCAGCCTGGCCAACATAGTGAAACCCTGTCTCTACTAAAAATAAAAAAATAATAAAAAATTAGCTGGGCATGATGGCAGGCGCCTGTAATCCCAGGTACTCAGGAGGCTGAGGCAGGAGAATCACTTGAACCCGGGAGGAGGAGGTTACAGTGAGCCGAGATGTACCACTGCATTCCAGCCCAGGTGACAGTGCGAGACTCTGTCTCAAAAAAAAACTACGTGGAAAGGAAGCTGTGCGAATTTGCTGTTGAGATGTGTGACTCTGATTTGCTGGCTAGAGATAGCCGCTCATCCCTCTTCCCTTTCAGAGCCAGGAATTCATCCATCCGCCAGACACAATGCCTGCGGGTCAGTTATAGAAACTACTGGGTGAGGTTCAGTCAAAAAAACCAGGTGTGTTCCACCTGAAAAAGAGAATTTGAAAAGAATCTCCAGGCCGCCCACAGTGGCTCACATCTGCAGTCCCAGCAGTTTGGGAGGCCGAGGCGGGCAAATCACTTGAGGTCAGGAGTTTGCGGCCAGCCTGGACAATATGGCGAAACCCCATCTCTACTAAAAATACAAAAATTAGTTGGGCATGGTAGCAGGCACCTGTAATCCCAGCTACTCAGGAGGCTGAGGCAGGAGAACTGCTCAAACTCGGGAGGTGGAGGTTGCAGTGAGCCAAGATCATGCTACTGTACTCCAGCCTGGGCAGTGGAGTGACTGAGACTGTCTCAAAAAAAAAAAAAAGAATCTCCAGTTCCAGAGAAATCTCAATCTGAGAAGGTTCCGGAGGGCGGGATGAGGCCGAAAGAATGAACTTAAAAGAGAATGGGGTTTGAAGAAGATACAGAAGAATGCCTCAAAGCAGTCGGTCTCCGTCAAAATGAGTCAGGCTGGTGTGGGAGGCCGAGAGCTTCCTTCCCATTCACGTCCAAGCAGAAGGAGGACTGTTGAAGATGGCACCTTCATATTCAAGAACTTCAGCCCTCTCCTGAATCCAGTCATTGCCAAGCCTCTAAGGCCCATGCACCTGTGTGTGTTTCTTTGTAGCAAGAGGTCCCTGTTCTCAGAATAGCCGATAATCACGACTGGGAGTGGAGGCTGACATCTGTAATCCCAGCTCTTTGGGAGGCCAAGGTGGGAGGATCCCTTGAGCCCAGGAGTTCAAGATTAGCCTGGGCAATATAGCAAGACCCCATCTCTTAACAAAAACAAGCAAAAACTGGCCGGGCCTGGTGGCTCACACCTGTAATCCCAGCACTTTGGGAGGCCGAGGCGGGTGGATCACCTGAGGTCAGGAGTTC